GGCTTTTCTGCTTTTTTTTTTATAAAATTTTTTATTGGTTTTTCACAATTTATATAAACACAAACAATACACAATACAAACAAACAAACAAACAAACAAACACATAAACAAACATGTATAATTTCAAATCCTTTTTTCTTAAACCTTACTTCACCGACTTCCCCGTACCTCCCCTTTCTGCATCCCAATTTCCAAATTTGTTTCAGCAAATCCTCCCCTTAAGTTTATCTAATTTTCCCTTGTTCTTTTCTTTTACTTAATCTTTTACAGCTGTAGTCCCCTTTTTTCTATAACCTCAACATTTTAGCACTCATTAATTTTACAATATTTCTTAAGATAAATTTTGAATTTCTTCCAATCTTCTTCCGCCGTCTCTTTCCCCTGGTCTCGGATTCTGCCAGTCATTTCAGCCAGTCCCATATAGTCTATCACCTTCATCTGCCATTCTTCCAGAGTGGGTAGATCTTGTGTCTTCCAATACTTTGCGATAAGTATTCTTGCTGCTGTTGTAGCATACATAAAAAAGTCCTATCTTTCTTTGGCACCAATTGGCCGACAATGCCCAAGAGAAAGGCTTCTGGTTTCTTGGGAAAAGTACATTTAAGTACCTTTTTCATTTCATTATATATCATTTCCCAGAAAGCCTTAATCTTCGGGCACCGAGCACGGCTTTTCTGGCTGGGGATGATGGGAGATGTAGTCCAAAACATCTAGAGAGTTTAGTGGGAAATTCCTCAGACTCACTTGGATTGCCAGTAAAGACTCCAGCCAAAATATAGGAGCCAAACAGCAGCCCATAGGCCTGGTCTTCATTGTTGCAACAAGACTTCAAACTACCACATAGAAGAAGTAGGGAGAAGCCCCGAACAAAGGATGGCTCTCCTTTTTATAAGTTTCCGGAAGTTACCCATAACACCTTTAGTAAAACATCATACATTTGTCATAACTATGTCACAAATTGGGAGGGGTCTTCTGGCAGAAACCTGAGCACCAGACTTGCCCCGTCCCTCACCTGACCTTCACCTCCCACCCTTTAGGTGAATCAAAGGTTTTCCCAGCCAAGTTAAGCACTCCCTTTTGTCTTGACTGAGACCCCAATCCACTGAGGTTGGGTTTGCGATTGTTCTTGGAATGACTACCTGTCTGGCACTCAGGTGTCAGGATGCCAGCGATTATCACCCAGGCAGTGTTGCCAGCTGAGTACATGTGGTCTCAGCTTCAGGGATTATAGCTGCCCCATCTCATGTCCATAGCTCCTCCCCTGATAGCTATTTACCTTCTGAGTAGAGGTGTAAATCCATCACAGGAAACATTTTATATGAATTTCTAAAAGTTTTCGGGACAAAAGAACCTTCTAAAGCAGGCATAGGCAACCTCGCACTTCCAGATGTTTCTGGACTACAATGCCCATCATCCTTGATCGCTGGTCCTGTTAGCTAGGGATCATGGGACTTGTAGTCCCAAAACATCTGGAGGGCCGAAGTTGCCTATGCCTGCTCTAAAGCTAGAGATGAGGCTGGTTTGACGGCTGCAGTGCCAGTGTAGCCCTTGGTAGGGGGCGCTGTTTCATAACTCTCTAGGCATACTCTTCTCCAATAGGCTGGGATTTCAGTAGCTGTCAAGATTACAGGTTTTGATTGGTTGCTAGTTTTACAGCTATTTAAATGGTGGCTGCGGATTGGCCAAGCGCCTTGTGAATGGAAAGGTCGGTGTTTGGTATGGCAAGCGGTCTACCCATATCTACAGGTGTGCTTTGGCTAGGGAGGGGGAAAGGAGGCATTAACAGGGGGTGTGAATGGGGCATTTGAGGTAGAGTGGTCCTTGTTATTGGAGGGCTGCCCACCCCCCTTTCCTTCCTATGAATTATAATAATAATAATTTATTACTTATACCCGCCCATCTGGCTGGCCCCCCCCAACCACTCTGGGCGGCTTCCAACAAAACACTAAAATACAATAACCTATTAAACATTAAAAGCTTCCCTAAACAGGGCTGCCTTCAGATGTGGCTCCTGGCCTCACAGTGGCCTCTTTTAATACCCAGGAAGGGAGTCATCAGGCTTGCAGCTGACCTCAAATGTTGGTTTGTATTATTTTTATTTCAAGGTGATATACAATGTGAAATGGGTGTGTGTGGAATCAATAAAACTAATTTAAGAATAATAAAGTATGACCTTGTTGTACCCATAAAAGGAACAAGCAAGCATCTGAGAATAAACCCGGATTGCACCCCTCTCACTTTATGGTGCGTTCAAGTCCTTTCTGGTTAGTTAAAGGGGCTGGAATCATATTCTTTCATCGTATTCTTATGCATTCCTTTCATCTTTAGTAACTGAGCTGATTGTGTCTCAAAATTGAAGACTCGCCAGTCTGAACTCAATGACAGTCTGTATCATTTGGACAGCAAACTTTTATTTGGAACAGTAAACATCATGTACTAGAAAATTAAAAATTATCTAGGTCCAAGCTATCTGAAAGACCAGGCAATTTTGGAACTGCGTGCCTAGAGAAGTTAGACCAGGCTCTCTCCTTGTCATCATTCTGCCAGCAGATGAAGACCTTCTTGTTTTCCAACAGTCTCTTGGGGACTGGCTGTTTTTACTGAAAGGAGTGGTGCTCTGCTCTTTGCTCCACAAGGTCAGCAATGCTGCAGAGATGTTGGCGCTGCTCTTCAGCATTACACCTGCAGAACCTCCTTCCGGAGAAGCCTCTCCATCTGCTCCCTTCAAGGTGGCCTCATGAGCCCCACACATCCAGCCAGCCAAATCTCTCAGGAAGGCAAACTTGAAACACCTGAGAGGCTATTTAGCAGGTGAGAGGAGGAAGCTCAGGCGCTCCCACCAACGTTGCCCAGCTGCCCTTAAGCACCAGGGCCTCAGCTTCTGGGGATCTTTGCTGGGAGGTTGGCAAAGGCAGCCTATAAAGGCCGTTGCCTGCCCTTCACAGGTGCCCCCTTGTAGAATTGGTATCACCAGGAACCCACAAGGACTCTGCCTCTCCGCTGCCTGCCTGGTGAGTTTTTCTAATACAAAGCGAGTCGGCACTTCAAGCTTCCTTTGGTGGCCACCAGCGCAGCCTCCACGAGATAAGAAGTGTCTGCTGGATCAAGCCAATGGCTCATCTGGTCCAGTATCCTGTTCTCCCAGTGGCCCATTATGGGAAACTCGCAAGCAGCATTTGAGCACCAGAGCCCTCTCCCCTACTGTGATTTGCAGCAGCTGGTTTTCAGAAGCATTACTTCCTCCAGCTGTGGATTTGCAGAGCAGAGCCATCCTGGCTAAGAACCATAGATTATCTTCTCCTCCATGAAGGATACCTGTCTCTGTTCATTCATAAGGTTGTGCCTCGTGTAACTGCTTTTCTTCCTGATCCCTGTGGGACAAGGGAGGGGAAGGAATTCAGTTCACCTTTTGTCTAAAGATGAACTTCCTTAATTTGAACTGAGCTGAAATAGAGCTGCCCTTTGAAATTCTCTGAGTTTTGCATCCCAGCTCCATGGCCAAGGAATATATAGTGATTGTTTTAACTGTTTTTAATATCGACTTTAAAAATAACTTAACTTTCCTTATGAAGAGTGGGTAATAAACTGAAATAACAGCAGCAACAACACACACATGATTGAAAAGAATATACAGAAATGCATTGTAATAAGAAAAAGGGTTTTCCAAAAATGTGCATATTGGACAACATTTTGTATAAATGTTAGGAGAAACATGCACTAAAATCCTGCTGAATATTCTTTTTCTTTTAAAAAAATTTTATTCAGTTTTACATTTAACATTTACGCTCATTCATAAATCATGATAATAGAAATGTGGGATTCCCTGAATCCTTGGACTCCTCTCCGCCCCTCCATGGATTCCATTGTCAATCTTTCCCCACCTGCATCATATAATGTTTTCCATTCCATTCCTTAAAATTCTGTTCATACCATAGTTCTTGTTACATTACAATTGTTGTCATAATCCTGCCAAAAATCCTGACGAATATTCATAAGGAATTCTTTAATGTTATTTTTTTAAAATGCAAACAAAGTTGGAAGCAGCAATGATTCGGAATCTCAGTTGTTGAAACTGTAGGATGGGAGGGGCTCTTGTGCTTGGATCCTGCTAGCGGATTCCTCATAATGGGCATCTGGTTGGTCACTGTGAGACCCGGATGATGCCCCATTGGCCTGATCCAGCAGGCTCTTCTCATGTTTTTTCCGTGCAAATGTGAAGAACTGAAGTGAAGATTGGAAAAATGAGAACCTGAGCCAATCCGAAATGGACAGATTTGTCCCTCCGTATGTGGGGCTGGACCTTGCACAGTCCACATGTCCCCCCAGTATGTATTTCTTCTCTCATTGCTGGAGTTCCATGCATAGCGCCAGGACAGCTGAAGCAAAAGCTCTCTGTGCAGAGTCACAGAGGATGCTAGTGCAGGGCGCGTGATCACCCCCCCCATCTATATCTGATGATCAAGCGTCTGGAAATCAAACCTTCTAAGGGACGGTTGAGGGAGTTGGGTATGGAGAAGGGGAGACTGAGAGCTGATAGGATAGACACCTTCAAAGGTCAGAAGATGGAGCAAGCTTGTTTCCTTCTTCTCCAAAGGGGAGGACCTGAACCAACAGATTCAAATTGCAGGAAAGGAGGTTCCGACTAAACGTTAGGAAGAACTTTCTGAGGGTAAGAGCTGTGTGACAGTGGAACAGACTCCCTCAGAAGGCCACCTGTCAGGAATTCTCCAGCCGGGATTCCTGCTTTGATGGAGATTGAAACAGATGGCTCTCGTTCAACTCTACAGTTCTGTTATTCTATGACCTCAGAAGCTGGAGGTATTTAAACAGAGATTGAATGGCCATCTGCTGGAGTTATTTAACTGGGATTCCTGTATTTCAGGGGGTTGGACCAGATGACTCTGGGGATCCCTTCCAACTCTGCAATTCTACGATCTTCTCATGTCACCTTTGTGTGTGTCTGTTTTTCTCCCCTGGTTTTCAGGAGTCCTGTGAGTGAAGCTAAGCAGCCGTGGTGAATCATCTGCCTCTGATGAAGCTGGCTCCTCATGGCCATGGCCAACCTGACCCACTCCTGGCCTCCCACGTTCTTCCTGCAAGGCATCCCGGGGCTGGAAGCCTACCACATGTGGCTCTCTGTGCCAGTGTCCTGCATCTACGTGGTGATCATTGCCGGGAACTGCACCATCCTCCTGGTGGTGGCCACAGAGCCAGCTCTCCACAGGCCCATGTGCTACTTCCTCTGCATGCTGGCAGCTATTGACTTGGCAGCCTCCACCTCCGCCCTGCCCAAGATGCTCTGCATCTTCTGGTTCCAGGGCGGGGAGATCCAAGCCGTTGCCTGCCTGGCCCAGATGTTCTTCATCCATGCCTTGTGCATGATGGAGTCAGCGGTGCTGCTGGGGATGGCGCTGGACCGCTATGTGGCCATCTGCTTCCCGCTCAGGTACAGCTCTTTCTTCTCCAGCTCACTGGTGGCCAAGATGGCTGTGGCCGGCATAGTCAGAGGAACGCTGCTGATGGCACCTTGCCCTTTCCTGATCCGGAGGCTGTCCTACTGCCGGACCAACGTCATTCGCCACACGTACTGTGAGCACATGGCAGTGGTCAAACTGGCCTGTGGGGACACCAGCATCAACCGCACCTATGGGCTGAGTGTGGCTCTGATCGTCATCGGAGGAGACCTTCTCTGCATTGGGCTCTCCTACTTCTTCATCGTCCGTGCGGTGCTCCGTCTCTCTTCCCGCGAGGCGAGGCACAAGGCTTTCGGCACCTGTGGCTCCCACCTCTGCGTCATCTTGATCTCCTACAGCCCTGCCCTCTTCTCCTTCTTCACCCATCGCTTTGGCCACTCCGTGGCCCCCCATATCCACATCCTGCTGGCCAACCTCTACCTCCTCTTCCCTCCCATGCTCAACCCCATTGTGTATGGAGTCAGGACCAAGGAGATCCGGGAACGGGTCACCAGGGTTTTCCTCCCAGGCAGGGTCATGGTGAAACTCAGGCTGAGTTGAGACTGAATCCCTTCCCCCTAAATGCCAGCCCTACCTGGCTCGAAGGGCCCTGGCAAACTCCATTTGTAGCTGGTTGGATTGGACGATATCATCTACCGTTCCTGTACCTCGAATCAGGTGCCATGCCCCAAATAAGTTCTTCTGCAGCTCGGAATGCAAGGAAGAGGATTATTGATGGCTGCTAGCCATGATTGCTATGCGCTGCCTTGGTTAGAGGCAGTGATGCTTCTGAATCCCTGTTGCCTGGAAACCTGAGGAGGTGAGAGGGCTGCTCTTGTGCCCAGGTCCTGCTTGTGGGTTTCCCATAATGGTCACCTGGTCACCCACTGTGAGAACAGGATGCCAGACTAGAGGGGCCCTGGTCTGACCCAAAAGTGGTCTCCTTGTCCTCTTAGCTCAGTCCCAGTCTGCATCTGCATTGGAATTGATTTCAATATGTCTTTACTGTTTGCTGCCCTGGGCTCCTTAGGGAGGAAATGTGGAATATAAATTAAACCAGTAAATGTGTCAGAAGGGGGCTCTTTGTGCATGCAAATGTCTGAGCGTGTAGGTCCTTTACACAATGGTGGATTCTGGCTCCAGTAAAAACTCCCCACACTGGCAAACCCATGCGTGCATATGTCCATCTAGATCCATCTAGAGCCCCTTCTGATGGATGACAAACACAAAATGGCGAGGAGGAGGAAGAAATTAGCCTGAATGTTCTCACAAGCCCATCACGTGTTCTCTCAGTGTAAGGTGTGTGTGTCATCCGAACCCTGCAATGGCTTCACTGCAATAAGTGAGAGCTCCAGTTGAAGGAGGAGCTTTCACAGCTGAGAATTTGTGTGCCTGTTCCTCTGAACCAGCTGGCTTTGACTGCCTGGCCTGCTGAATGCCAGGCAGTGGCACGAGTGTTGTGGAATGCCCTCCCGGCTGAAGAACGAGAGGCCTCCATCTGTATCTGAGAGCCAGTGTGGTGTAGTGGTTAAGAGCTGTAGACTCATAAGCTGGTGAAGCGGGTTCACATCTCTGCTCCTCCACCTGCAGCTGCTGGGTGACCTTGGGCTTCTCTGAAGTCTCTCAGCCCCACTCACCTCACAGATTGTTTGTTGTGGGGGAGGAAGGGAAAGGAGATTGTGAGCCGCTTGAGACTCCTTAGGGTAGTGATAAAGTGGGATATCAAATCCAAACTCCTCCTCCTCCTCCTCCTCCTCCTCCTCCTCCTCCTCCTCTTCTTCTTCTTCTTCTTCTTCTTCTTCTTCTTCTTCTTCTTCTTCTTCTTCTTCTTCTCCTCCTCCTCCTCCTCCTCCTCCTCCTCCTCCTCTTCTTCTTCTTCTTCTTCTTCTTCTTCTTCTTCTTCTTCCTCCTCCTCCTCCTCCCTCCTCCTCCTCCTCCTCCTCCTCTTCTTCTTCTTCCTCCTCCTCCTCCTCCTCCTCCTCCTCCTCCTCCTCCTCTTCTTCTTCTTCTTCTTCTCTCCTCCTCCTCCTCCTCCTCCTCCTCCTCCTCCTCCTCTTCTCTTCTTCTTCTTCTTCTTCTTCTTCTTCTTCTTCTTCTTCTTCTTCCTCCTCCTCCTCCTCCTCCTCCTCCTCCTCCTCCTCCTCCTCCTCTTCTTCTTCTTCTTTCTTCTTTCTTCTTCTTCTTCCTCCTCCTCCCTCCTCCTCCTCCTCTTCTTCCTCCTCCTTCCTCCTTCCTCCTCCTCCTCCTCCTCTTTCTTCTTTTCTTCTTCTTCTTCTTCTTCTTCTTCCTTCCTCTCCTCCTCCTCCTCCTCCTCCTCCTCTTCTTCTCTTCTTCTTTCTTCTTCTTCTTCTTCTTGCTTCTTCTCCTCCTCCTCCTCCTCCTCTTCTTTCTTCTTCTTCTTCTTCTTCTTCTTCTTCCTCCTCTCCTCCTCCTCTCCATCCTCCTCCTCCTCCCCTCTTTCTTCTTCTTCTTCTTCTTCTTCTTCCCTCGTCCTCCTCCTCCTCCTCCTCTCCTCCTCCTCCTCCTCCTCCTCTTCTTCTTCTCTTCTTTGAGCATTCCACCGGCTCTTGAAGACACACCTGTCAGACAAGCATCCCTCCACCTCACCCCCAACATGGACATCTGGATCTTATTCTTTCAGTTGTCACTTTTACTGTGTTAATTGTTGTGCTTTTTAATGGACTTGTTTATTTGTGAATTTTAATTATGTATGGATTTTATACATGTAGTCTCCTTAGATACCATGTAGCACGTGAGTACATATACACTGATAAATGAAGAACACTAATAACGGAGAGGTGGTACAAACGTGATTGCAGTGTCCTTTACTGGGCAATATGTGGCTTAAAGGCTCTCTAAGCTTCAGTTGCACAAAATCCAGGCAAAGGAAAATCCGGAGCTTCTGGGGCCAGAGTGTTAAGCTGGGTGGGAAAGGGGGCAGTCCAGTTTTCTTGCTCTTCATTGTATCTCCATTATGGAGCAGATGGTTACACCAAATTGTCGCACAGGCAATACCCCAAATAAAAGAGGCTTCATGCAAAAAGGTGAATCTGTCCATTTTTTAGGAGTTTCTGCTGTTTCCTGACAGTCAGAGGCTCAGAACTGTCAGCATCCTCTGTCCCCAGCTAGTTCACACAGCCCCCAGCTGGGCGGGGGTCAGTCAGTTCAGTTAACCCCCGAATCTCCACGCTTTATCTTTCTCTGTGTTCAGCAGAGCTGGGTGTCTATGGGCCAGTCTCAAAGCAGGGCTCACAGTCGTGTCTCTCCTTACCCTCCTTCTCCAGGCACCGTTGGTCGGGTAAGCAGTTCACAGTTCTGTCTTTAGACCTCTTCTCTCTCTGCTCTCAGTTCAGGCAGCAGCGTTCTCTCCTCTCTGGCAACCTTGACCGGGCAGCTGATAAGGAGGGAGGGAGCAGGCTGGGACAAGCTGAAGATGAGCTGGAACAAGCTGAAGCTCGCAGAGCCAACAGGAATTATAAAAGTGCTCAGAGTCTTTAAAATGTTTTCCGTTTGTTAGAAATTGGCATCCGGAGGGCAATTAAGATAAGGTTTTAAAAGAATAAAAGTGAGCGCCGGAGAGCGCGACTTGCCTCGGCGCCATCTTGCCTCCCAGCTCCGATTTTCCATCCTCCTGAGTGGAGTGTAAGGAATAAATGCTGACTCTCCATTGGCTTAACAGAAATAAGATATAATGTTTAGTAGATTTAATAGAATGCACCCATAGTAGCTATATTCTGAACCTCAAATTGTATAGAAAGGGCGAGACTCTCTCTCCTTTCCTGTTAATCTGCTTGTAAAAGAAGGTTTCCTTTCTGCAGCCTGTCAGCTGAACCATAAAGGGTGAGCAGGTTCCAGGCTATCCAGACAAGCAGTGCAGGAGAGCAGGTTGGCAGGCAGCCAGTCGTTTGGAGTAGATAGGAGCTCGTCCCTTTTTTAATTCTTTCCTTTTTTTTGCTAAAGTACCTGTAAGCTATGTATTGCTTTAAAAACCTTTGTTAGAAAATTTGCTGATTAAGAAGCTTGTACAGTGGTACCTCGGGTTACAGACGCTTCAGGTTACAGACTCCGCTCACCCAGAAATGGTATCTCGGGTTAAGAACTTTGCTTCAGGATGAGAACAGAAATCGCACGGCGGCAGCAGGAGGCCCCATTAGCTAAAGTGGTACCTCAGGTTAAGAACAGTTTCAGGTTAAGAACAGACCTCCAGAACGAATTAAGTTCTTAACCTGAGGTACCACTGTATACAAAATAACCCACAACAGAATATGCTAAGCTTGCTGAAGAAAATCACCACTTTAGAACATGATCTAGTCTGTCTTTGTTTGAAAATGAGCAAATCGCTTCTCGGCCTTTTGGCTAAGATCAAGTGTAGTATCTGTCCTTATCAGTTTAATATCTACAGATAGGTAGCCGTGTTGGTCTGCCATAGTCAAAATAAAAAAATTCCTTCCAGTAGCACCTTAAAGACCAACTAAGTTAGTTCTTGGTATGAGCTTTCGTGTGCATGCACACTTCTTCAGATACACCGAAACAGTGTATCTGAAGAAGTGTGCATGCACACGAAAGCTCATACCAAGAACTAACTTAGTTGGTCTTTAAGGTGCTACTGGAAGGAATTTTTTTAGTTTAATATCTGACTTTCAATAGTGCTTTATAGAATAGATTAGAATATATTTACAGCTAAGCTTTTCCACCTGGCCTAGGGGGCGGGGCCCAGACTCACCAGCCCCACTGAAGAGGCTCCTGGTGAGACTGGAGGGACATCGCTATGCCTGGCAACAAACCCTAATTGTTGGGTTCCTTTGCCCCACCTTTTTGTGCTTGACAAACAGCCATGTCACGCTTATGACAATATTATATTCTCTTGTTAACTATGCTGTTTTAAATGTACATTTTATATTTGACTTAGTGATGTTTTCTTTTAAATGTTTAAGTTTTTTGTTAACTTTGTTTGTGTTAAATTTGCATTCTGTAGTTGACCTCCTTTGTAATGTTTTATTATGAAATCTTTAAGATAATGTTTTTGTTTCCTCTTAATTATGTTGCTTTTGACTGTATACTTTACATTTGACTTTCTTCAGAAATGTTTGATTCTGGATTGTTTTGTTGATGTTTAATATGCTGTAAACTGCTTTCAGATTATTATTAAAAATATAAAGCGGTATATAAATGAAATGAATAATAATAATAATAATAAATATTTTAATGTTAATTTTCACCTCTATAATGCATACCACCTCATTTTCTACGCCTTACTGGGCTGCAGAACTGCACTGAAAAATTTGGAGAAGCATGATTTTTCAAGGAAGGCTGTGTTAAGTGTTGCATATTGTTCTGGAAAGTGTGGATTGCATGGTTGTGCTTCTCAGAGCGAATTGAATGAAATATCTCCGCCATCCTTACAGCAAGTATGCCTGACCGGACATACCACCCTCCCCGACCCCTTTTTGAACTATTTGTAGTTGGCAGCAGAGGCCCCCTTCCGCACGGCACCCTACAATGGCAAAAACATTGGATGTGAGCCACAACATTTTAATCTTCTCCTCCTTCAGTCAATAAGGGCTTAGAACCTTCTAGGAAAGGACATGTTGCTTCCGGGCATGTGCAGAATAT